AAGGTATTCAAGCTGTCAGATATTTTGCTTGAAGTGCCTTTTTATGTTTGTTTGTTTGTTTGTTCTAGTTTTTCTTTAGGTTGTATATTGGATATATCTGCAATATTAACCATAGCTTTATGGTGCCCCTTGGTGAGCTGACAAAGTTCTTGAATTAGAGATCACACACTTATATGGGAATTGTCCTGCTGCATATCTGATTTTTTATCAGGGCAGAACTACAGTATTTCTTATCTAAGGAAATAATATTTAATAATATTTTGAAAGATACAAGAGGAAGGTCTGGGGAAAGAAGGAACACTGACAGTGCAATTCTCCTGGGAAGAAAACTTCCAGATAAGCTTTTATAGGATTATGACCTGTCTTAAATTTTAAAAAACCCAATTCTACCAATAATAATAATAACAAAGCAGTCAACTGCAAAAGGCAGCTTTACTTGGAACAGCTTACATCCTGCGACAATACCTTTAGCACTATCAAACAACAACACCTGCCTATCCCAGGTCCTTGGGAAGGACTCAATAGGTGGATAAAAATACCAAATTCCGTCTAAACATCTGGCTGACTGTGCAACCAGCCATAGCAAGGAAAATAATGCTGCTGGAACATGGAAAACATTTGTTAAATGTAGGAAAAAGCTATTAAGAGTAGATTGTGTTACCTCATCACTGGCAATTTTAAAAAGAAAATACAATAATCTGATAATTTTGCTTTATCTTACCTAGGGAGTTTACTCCCTAGATGAAGCGTTCACTTTGTCACTCACCTAAGATGTTATCTGGCCTTTGGCCTAGTCACTTATTTTCTTCACATGAACATTATGGACTAACTTTTCTTTAAGGCAATCTAATTCTCAGAATGAAACAACCACTACCAATACTTCACAGAGGAAAAAAAGAAAGAATGTGGAAAATCCCCCTGAGAAATGTTGTTACTTTCAGCAATTTTTTCTTAAGCTTCTCTTAGCAATACCGCACCGAGATACTTTGCCAAGACAAAATCTCAGACTGGGATTTTTTTTCAGGGAATTTTCTCATAGATGTTCTCTGCTTTTCTTTTTAAAAGCCCCATTTTTCAATACCATATCCTTTACTTGAGGAGAATTTTGCTTAGAAGATGCTCTGATTTTTCACTGGGAAAGCCAGCTAGCAATGATCCAGAATACTAGATTAAAAGAAGCCAGTGTTATATAGTGGTTAAGGTGTTAGACTGGCCCTGGGAAGACCCAGGTTCAAGTCTATCCTCAACCATAGAAACTCACTCGATAACTTTGGGCCAATTACTCTCTTTTAGCTCAACCTACTTCACAGGGTGGTTACTGGGGGGATAAAATGAAGGGGGATTCCCTCATAACCCACATTAAGCTCCTAGAGAAAATGCAGTGTATAAAGGCAATAAATAAAAAATCTTGAAAATTCCTGTTGAAGTGAACCAAGGGAGTTCATTGCCAGAAACAATATATCCTCAAATCTTCCACTTACTTCTGATCACATCAAAGCACTCTATCAGCTATCAATTGATTAAGGAGAAGCCTGAGATGTCATGTATTCTTCACAAGCAATACTTGAAGCATCACCAAAAGCCTCTTTTGTCAAGCGTGCAAACATCTTGCACTAGGTGACTAGACACCACTTGTCCATGACCACCTGACAGTTCTGTGAGTCTTTGTAAACATAGCTGCATTTTCCCTGCACTTAAGTCTCATTCCTTGAGTTTCCGTTGTATGTATTTTGTTAGTTCTCTAGGCAGACACTCTGCCTGTGTTGGAGCTTAGGTTTGAGTGCCTGCTTTTGCACTGCTGGAGCCACTCAAGGCTCTAGTGGCTTGAAGAGCACCTTTGTTGGGTTTTAGTGGCTCTGGAGTCCCAGTGCTTTACACATTCTCACACTTGTCAATTCCACTCACTACAGTCTTGGTCTCCCCCCCTTCCCCTCCCCGCTCTTTCTTTTGAATTTATTCAAATGCTAAATATCCTTGTTCTAACTACCTAGTCTATGCTGAGGCAAAAAATAAAGATGGGATGATATTTCATATACTTTCAATTTCTTACTAGGCTTGTCCATTGTTTCAGTAATAATTTGAAAAAGGTGCCTTGGAGCATGTAAGTCCCCAACTGGGGCTGAAACTGAAACTCTTTTTTAAAAACTCTTTCTTTAAAGCATTTCCCTTCCAGGAATTGCGTGGCTACTCTCTGCAGATGCCACATGATTCTGGAAAAAGAGGTAGCTGATTTAAAGAGTTGCAGGCAGCGTTCTTGGCAGACTGCAAAGCATCTTTCTGGAACCAAATCTAAAGCATTGCATAGCTCTATTTTTTAATTCCAACTCTTCCATTTCAACTTCAGACTGTCTCTCCCTCCCCCTTCCCTATATATATTAACATGCAAATGCATATTTATTTCTATAAAATAATAGAAATGCAGAAACATGTTCAGTATATTAAGTACTGATGCAATATTACTGCCTTTTCTACTGTGAGGCAGAGGGGAACTAGCGCTCCAAAGATTGAGTTACTTTGCAGCGGTGTCCCTCTTCCAAGGTTTGAGAAGAACTGCCATAAACAATCCCCTAGGATTATCCAAGAAACAATTTCTAGTTAAGAGACATGCAAAAGGCAACAAAACCAGAGGCATGTCTCATAATCCTATTCAGTCTCTACCTGTTACTGTAAGTGATGCTCACTGAAGCTTCAGTCCCAAGAGAAATAAAGCTTCCAGTCACTGGATGTCTTTTCTCCTACCACATCGGATTGGCCATGCTGGATGCATAATTGTGGGAGTTGCTGTCCAACACGCTTGGAAGGCTGCAGGTTGGGAGAAAACACATGGAAGAATCAGAGGAAAAACCATAAGCACTTTTAAAAGAGGAATTCACAATGTGATGCAAAGACTTAATTATGTAGACTCATGGCAGTCACGTTTCAGGCCAGGGCTCAGCACAGAAATTGCATGGACAAAGATTGGGGAGACCTTCTGGTCTTCTTGTTATCTCAGCAGATTTGAATACCATTGACCATGGTATTCTTCTGGACTGTCTCCAAGGGATTTCAGTGGAGGGCACCATGCCAATAATATCTAGTTATATATCTCAGCCCTGTGCCAAACAGGTAATGCACTAAAAGTGCTGATCCACTGCCTAGATGCTGTCACAACCTGGATACGGAGGAACAGACTCACAGTGAATCCCTCCAAGATGGGATGGCTTTGAGTCTGTGAGCCAAATAATTCCAGGTAGCATCAACTTTTACTCTCAGTGGGGCTGTATTCCTCTGTTCAGAGGTGGCCTCTGAGGAGCAGTTATTCCCAGATAAGTGTGTGTAATATTTTAGCTTAAATTATTTTTAGTACATTTATGAGATAAAGGTGTGTTTCAGATTTATTCCTGGATTTCTATGATTTGAAGTATCAAGATTATGGGCCAGACCATAATCTTCTTTTTGAAAGTGACCTTTGCTCAAATGACTGCCCAGTCTGACTGCAAGATCAAGAACCACAAGAAGGGAGAATAATCAACAGCTGCCCATCTGTACTTAGTATCAAGACAACCAGTTGAGAAGGCATAAAAGTCATTTGTTCCATCCCCCACAGTAATAAATTGCATTCTATTTCATCTTATGTTATGGCAATTGTTTCTAAACTATTTTTGAAGCAATGTATATAAATCCACCATGTATATATTTACAAGAAGCAAAACCCAAAGCACAACTGATAAAAAGGGTAGGCAGAGCCAACCTATCCATGAAGTAGATTGAATTTTCTCTCTGAAGCAGTGCATTGAGAAAGATGGTAGATCAGGGCCAGGCTTCTTGCCAGAAGATCAGCTTCAGGGTCCTCAAATGGTCACACAACTTGGGTCCTTGCTATGATGCCTCAATGACCACCTAGCCCCAACTTCTCATTCTGAGGGACCTCAGAGTGAGGCATCTGGTGAAAGAGGAAGACAAAACCAACCAAGGGAAGGAAATGACAGTTTACCTGCTTCAGGGGCAGGTACATTTGGGCTACTTTGTAGGATATGGGATAAGACAGACAAGGCTACATCCTTGAAACCACCAAGAACTTGGAAGGGTCAAGAAATTCTGAACTAAAGATGTATAGAGTCAATTTATACATCTCAGTTTTCAAAACTGGCACTGAGGGTCATGGGGACTGGAGAGAGAGAAGAAAAAGAAGAAAATTGTGTCATAGTCATGCTCAATCTGATAATGAAGCTCAAGCTCAGATACTTTGGTCACCTAATGCGAAGAGAGTCTTTGGAAAAGACCCTGATGCTGGGAAAGATTGAAGGCAAAGGGAGAAGAGGACGGC